CTGGCGAATCGCTTCTGAGCCGAATGTGTCTTGGCGGAGGCCTCTGTGTTTACATAGCAACTTCAGCTGTCTGCCCTGGTGGCTGCCAGCAGCCGGGCCTGCAGTCCCGGGAAGGAAGGAATGTGAGGGAGGAGCAGGACCAGCCTGGAACGAGGGTGACAGGTGCGAATGAACCACTCCCCATCCCTGCGTTCCTTCCACCGTGGCCTACCCGGGTAGGATCGGGCCATCAATCCCGCATCTGGGCCTGGCTTGACCTGATTCCTGCCAGACTGGACAGGTCCCTGCTCAAACTTGCAAATGCTGGGCCAAAGGCACCCCGATTGCATCTGTTCCATGCCGTTCACAATGAGGACTAGGAGGTTAACGTTAGAGTTGAACCTTTGGTCAGGCACGGTGGTTCACGCCTGTAATCCTAGCACTCTGGGAGGCCGAGGCGGGCGGATCGTTCAAGGTCAGGAGTTTGAAACCAGCCTGAGCAAGATTGATACCCCGTCTCTACTAAAAATAGAAAGAAATTAATTGGCCAACTAAAAAAAAATATATATATATATATGTGTGTATGTGTATGCGTATATATATATATAAAATTAGCCAGGCATTGTGGCACGTGCCTGTAGTCCCAGCTACTCAGGAGGCTGAGGCAGGAGGATCGCTTGAGCTCAGGAGTTTGAGGTTGCTGTGAGCTAGGCTGTCGCCACGGCACTCACTCTGGCCTGGGCAACAAAGTGAGACTGACATTGTGGCACTCTAGCCCGGGCAACAGAGTGAGACTCCGTCTCAAAAAAAAAGAGTTGCACGTTTACGTTAAGTCCCTTCCTAGACTTCAGGGAGCATAGACCACATGGCTTACTGGCCCTGGTGGGTGACTATGTTCGAGGGTGAGTGTGGGCTGGCACGTGGGCCTAGACACAGCCCTTGGTCAGAGGTGCAAAAGAAAGACCCGGTGGCTTAGGGCAGCCTGGTAAGCTCGCCTTCCCTTTACTGCTTCTTTTCTTAAACCTCGTCTCACCCACACTCCTGCTTGCATGTTCCACCTTAGGATGAGTGACGTTCCCCACTCGCTGCCACCACTTTCTGGTCCTGAGGCTTCCCGTGGCTTCTAGGATGGCAGCACCCAGTAGGGCGGTCTCTTCCCTGGCACCAAGGCTGCCTCAGAGTGTGTGAAGGACTCGGTGCGCAACTGTCACCGTCGCCTCCCCAGCCACCTCCTGGAATGCAGACGTGCAGCTGGGGTTAGGGGTAGACTTGGGACCAGGCCGGCAAGTTTTCACCCTAGTGTGCCCCGGACACATTTATGTGACAACAGATGAGGCTGGGGTTGGTTACCTGTGTGCGTGGAGAGAGGAGGGCGCCTTGTTCCTTCTACAAAGTGAGTCAAAGGAAACTTTCAGTCCGCCATGCCTTTCCCCCTAAAACAGAGTGCAGCCAGAGAGCTTTGCAAAAGGAAAATCCTTTGATTTCTTCGCCTTATTTGGATGAAAGTGGGGGACAGGGGGATGGATGTTGGAGAAATATATTGTTCAGGCTAAAATAATAACCCTGGATCTGATGAGAGGTTCTGGGCAAGTGCAGACCCGGCTGAATCATCATCCTGGTGCTCGTGTTTCTTAAAAATAAATCCCCTTGCAATATTCTAATTATAGCTGGGGGAGCACTTGGAAGAGGCCTCTGCACACACAATAGCTCGCCCAGCTCTGGCCCTGGGTGAACTGGCAAGGGCTGAACAGTGTATTTCTGGCTGGGCCCCACCGGCGGGTGGCATGCCGTGATAACCTACTTCTGTCCTTTGCCAGGCAAGGAAATTGCAGCCACTGTTGCTGTGAGGAAAAAAAAAAAAAAAAAGGGTTTCATCTAGGCCAGGTGTCCTCAAACTATGGCCCTCAAACCACATGCGGCCCGCCGGGTGTTTTTGCCGCCGCTGCCTGTCCTGCTTAGCAGCCGACTCGTCCCGGGCCCACAGTGCGCATGTGTGGAATGTGCCCGCACTCTCCAACGGTCTGAGGGACAGTGGACTGGCCCCCTGTTTAGAAAGTTCGAGGACCCCTGTTCTAGGAAGTTCACCAGGAATCTCAGTTTAGCTTGTTTTCCGCCGGTATTAGCCTTTACCCCTTTCGGTTCTGGGTACCTAGTGGGAGGTGGCAGGAGCGGGGACACAGAGGAAGGAGACAGCCTAGTCCCTGTCCTTGGAAGCACTCAAGCTGTTGAGGTGGAACCACATTGAGCTTTATTAAGGAGGCAGGTTCTCCACATGGCCTTCAGGGGTAAAGTAAAACCTCTCCTAAACGGGAAATAAATGTTCTTCCTACTTGAATTCCTGGCTTAGGACTTTGTTAAAATAAAATACCCCATGATAAAAGTAACATATGAAGCCCTATCAGCCATTCACGCATTAGTGAGAACTTGACCAAAGTTTATTGAAATGTACGTATTCCATAGTGAGAGTCATAGGTGAATTTCCTTGGCCCCTGCTCCCAAATTATTCCGTCTCTAAGCAGGCATAAGGACTGTAACTGGGCAGGATTCTTTAACAGATGTTGTCTTTGTCTTGAGCTGCTGTAACAGAATGTCTGAGACTGGGTGATTTATAACGAACAGACGTTTATTGGCTCATGGTTACGGAGGCTGGAAAGTCCGAGATGGAGGGGCCAGCATCTGGCGAGGGCCTTCTTGCTGCGCCACCATATAGCAGAAGGCAGGGGTGGAGGGAGAGAGGGAGAGTGCAAGAGGGGACCAAACTTGTCCTTTCATAAGGAACCCACTCTCGAGACAATGGCATTAATGCAACCATGAGGACAGTGCCCCCAGGACCCAGATGTTTCCCATTAGGTCCCACCTCCCAACACTGCCACATCGGGGACTAAGCTTCCAACACATCAACTTGGGGGGATACAGTCAAACCATAGCGTATGTACAAAAGGCAATGCCATAGGACGCAGGGCCAAGTCGTGGTTTGTGAGGGGAGGGAGTCAGAAAATACTTCATGGGCTAAGTGGCATTTGGACTGGACCCCGAAGGATGAAAATCCCTGGGGGAGGGCATTCCAGACACAGGACAGCATCATAAGCCAAGGTGCCAAGGCACGAGTGGCCATGGTGTCTTTGCTTGGGAAGATGTTTGAATTGGGGTAGAAGAGGAAGGGGGGCGGCTTGTGTTGTGGTTAAGGGCATGGGCTCGAGATTCTGGGGGCCAACTCCGGCTCCACTGCTTGCTAACTGTGTGACTTTGCCTTGTGCAAGTTCCCTGACTTTCAGTCCATTTTCTCTTCTGTGTAGCAGACAGTACCAGTACCAACCCCACAAGGTTACAGTGAGGGTTAATTAATACATGTAAATATGCCTGGCGAGTTGTTAAGTGACTGAAAAATAAATGCTATTTATAATGGCGGTATCTTGGCACCTGGAAGGCATGGGAAAATTGGGGGAAGTGCTAAGGAAAGGTCTAAAAGAAAGTAGGCTAAAGACTCCCAAATTAAATTTCTATTCATCTATTTTCAAATATGCCAATAGCAGAATACAGGTAATGGTGAAGAGTGAAGTTTTGGAAACACATAAACGATGAGAAATATGAAAATTCTGTTCCTTGAGGCTGACAGGCTCTAAAGTTAGGAAGTCAGGCAAGTGGCCCCAGAGAGAGTGGCTTCACTGTGGCCAGTTGGCTACAGTGGTCCCCGAGAGCCCACGCTGCAGGGAGGGGCGGTTGGCTCTGTTCTGTCCTTGTCCCCCCTTGTAGCCTGTGTGGCCGCTGACTTTGAAGCAGGTGCTAGTGGGCACAGGACTGAGGGAAAGAAAATAGGTCAGTGCCAACCTCTTCCGACACCTTAAAAGCAGCATGAAGGTAGTGTCTTACTGGCATCATTTCCACACATGAAGTGGGGCACAGAGTTTCAGAAGGAGCAGAGTTGTGACTTGGTGTTGAGGAAAATCCTAGGCCAGGAAGAAAGCATGTGCAAGAAAGGTTTAGGAACTGGGATGAGGCCAGGCATGGTGGCTCAGACCTATAATCCTAGCACTCTGGGAGGCCGAGGCAGGAAGATGGCTTGAGCTTGGCAGTTCAAAACCAGCCTGAGCAAGAGCGAGACCCCGTCTCTACTAGAAATGGGAAAAATTAGCCGGGTGTAGTGGTGCACACCTGTAGTCCCAGCTACTTGGGAGGCTGAGGCAGGAGGATCGCTTGAGCCCATGAATTTGAGGCTGCAGTGAGCTATGATCACGGCACTGCACTCCAGACTGGGCAACAGAGCGAGACTTTGTCTTTAAAAGAAAAAAAAAAACAACAACAACAAAAAGAAGTCATTTAGGAAATGTCTTTAATGAAGACAGATGATGTGCTACTGAATGGTATTTTTCCCAGCTTGAAGTATTTTCTTACTATGACTTCATATGAATGCTTAGGTATAGTTTTATATTGGAAATTACTTTAGAAAATGTTTTTAGGGAAGAGATGATTTGCCGCTGAATGATTTTCCACATTGACATGCTTTTTTGATGAATTCTGAAAGATTTACCTTGGTTTTTATATATTTAAGCCTGGAATACTAACTAACCCTCTATCCAAGACAACTGGGAATTTCTCCCTGCGAACCTATTCCTGGGCTTCCCCCAATGGGCACAAACACTAGGAGGCCAATGTTTCAAGGAGAATTTGACTCAGATTTTTAGTTCTATTGCAGTATATACATGACTTTTCGGATCCTTGCAAGGTTCACAGGTAAGAGTTTCAAAAGTTATAGTGTGATCAAATTCAGGCTGAAAGCTGAAAAAGCTCATTCAACACCCTGAAAAAATTTCTGAACTCTACATGAAAGCCTATTAAAATGTTCCTTAAGACCTATAAAGGTGGACTTAAGAACAAGTAGCATTGGGAGCTAAGGCTACTAGGGCCAGGGGGATGGGAGGAGTGAGACAAATATCAGAAGAATTAGGAAAACTGATTCAATGCCCTTGAAAATGCTCAATTGTCTTTCTCTGCCCCATCATATTTCTGTCTTTCATCCTTAGGCCTGCAATGCCTGAGAAGAAGGTGGCCGATCTCAGCACTCTGAATGAAGTGGGCTATCAAATCCGAATTTAGCCAAGCCATACCGGCCAGCAGGAGGGTTTCTGTGGTGCTTCTCTCTGCACTTTAGCCAGCATCTTCAGGAGGAACGGCAACTATTTATTAAGAACTTGTGAATTTTATTTTTAAGGAATCACCTGGAAATAGAATCTGAGTGGGTGGTAACAATTAGCTTTAAAAATTTCACTAAGAGGCAACTGTGAAAAGGCTAAAGTAATGAACCCCATTGGGATTGGACTGTCTCCCCTCACTCAAGATCTTAAGGACAATATCCATAATTATAGTTTTATATTTTTCCATTTACCTACTTTCTCTTACTTGCTTTGAACATATGCCTCACCAACAGTAAATGTTCATGAAATCCTTTTTCGAACTTTTGGTATAGTAAGGTAACTCAATCAGTATTACTGTCTTTTTCAGCAATAACAGAAGCAAAGATGGGTGGGTTTTTTTTAAGCAGTTAATATTACCTCAGCATTCTGACATCAGATATGCAAACTTAATGGTGTTTTGTTTTTTTTATATTCTATTTGTATTCTTTCCCCAGTATTTCCCATGGGGATCTCCACAAGTTTGGAGTTTTTTCCTGGTGCACACATGAGATGTGATTTAAGGTATTATATGCAAGTGTTTTACTAAAAAGCACTGAAATTCTTCTGGCAATACAAGAAACCATTTTCAGGATCTTGGAGTTACTTCCTTCTAAATCTTTCTTAAAGCATTCACTGACAGTTTTTGTTATTTCAGAACAAAACAAAAAAAAGGCACATTCAGAAGCTAGTCTATGTTCTGTCACTAACATTTAAACTTTGCAGACTCCAGCAAAAAGTACAAGAGGTCATGTGCTATTACACAAATTTAGCAGTATTACCTTGGATAGCGACACACTTAGGCAAAGAGACCAGGAATGAATCAGCGGGTCTTGAGAACCAGATAACCTTTCCGTTCACATTTCATCTGATTTTTAACCTCTGCATGAGGCTTTGATTCTGAAGGACTCAAATGATCAAACGAAGGAAGGACTCACTGTTGTAAAAGATGTGTTCTGATGTCTTACATTAAGACCAAATGTGACACATGATTATTTTCCAGTACCTTGCTTTTTAGGTACCACTTCATGACATTTAGGGACTAGTACTGGGAAGTACAATGAATTGGAGAAGCAGAACTTTAAAAAAAAAAAAAAAAATGGAAAAGTCTTCTGAAACAGTGTTACACCTTATAGTGTGATTTAGTCCATGAAACACAGAATGAGTATCTGGCCTGCCTATGGTAGTTACAGTGTAACTTCCGGCTGCAGACCACACAGGATAATGTAGTCTATGTGGTGTAAGTGTCAAGAGCACAGCTTCTATTTCATTTGACTTATCTTAGCCATCATGCCAACTCATGAGACCGAAAGACCTATATAAGTGAAGTCTGCTAGTCAACAAATGTGTTATTTCAGTCTTAGTGCTTCTCCTCTGGCTTTCTTTGACTGACAGTGGTTATAGGAAGTTAAAAAAAAAATCAGCTCATTGGGTTTCTTCACCAATAAAACCTCTGAGGGTGCCATGGAAAGCAAAAGGGCTTCCCCATTCGGCTGTGTGCCCCAGAGCTTACTTCACCCTAACAATCAGTATTAATGAAAAGTACTGTTTTCTTGAAAAAGAAGGAAGTTTAAATGTCCTTAGCTGAACAGGACCAATTAAGTATACATCTCAATTAGATTAAAATGCAACATAAGTTAAAAATTCTAAGCTTAATTTTTTTCTTCAAGAATAGTATTATCAGAGTTTAAAATGAGTTATCTTTGCATAACTTCACACAGCAAACCCATTTACAGCCTCATGGCCACAGGTATTTAGATGTTTGGAGTAGGCAGTGAATCATTTCATTCTCATTCTAAAACATTACTGACTTAACCATGTATCTTCTGTTTATCAGTCTGAAACTTGATTATATGCAATAAGTAGACTACTTACAACACTGCAACCATTCTAAGACTTGGAATAGGATTTGCCAAGTATTACTTAAGTACTGTCCCATCTAAAATAGAGAATGTTACATAGTTGCATAGCCTCTTGTTTCCCACAAAAAAGGGGAAAAGAATACGAATACAAACTATTTCTAATATACTGATACAGAAGCCTTAAAACTGCCAACTAGCTTGATGATTAAACTAGTAACCTAATTTCTTCCATACTTGCTCCTTGATTTTTAGATTCATTTTCCCAAAGCAAAGTTTAGACACACAAACATGAAAACACATTTAAAATGTTCTTAGTTGTCATTCTATTTTTATTGCCTATAGAATATGTTAATTTCTAAAAAAATAAGGAAAAAGCACCAAACTCCTAAATTCTAGTATAATAATTTAATTAAATTAAGGCAATAAAAAAAACTCTGACATGTTTTACTCCCCAATTTAAGACTGGCTATGATTCAAAAGATAAAAAATAAAATTATGAAATGATATGAAATCTAGTTTTTAAAAAAGGTAATAATGCAAGAGAAATTTTATGCTTAAGGCATCATGGTAATATATGCAAAGTTTAAATGAATGATGACAGAAATCTTGATTTTTAGACTATATATTGTGCTGTTTCGAGTATACTTTATTTCAGAAAGTGATATTTAGTATTTTCTATACACTCTGAAATCATGAACATTTCACTTTTTCTAAGTCAATTATTTCATAAGGATTTTATTAATAGATATTGGTAAATAGAACTTTGGAAATCTTAATTCAGACTTCTTACTATACCTGAGGCTTTTGTAAGCTATAGTTTTATGTGCAACCTTGTACAGTTTTTTTGACATACAATTCAGAATCTTGTTTATTCTCTTGGACTTTGTTCTGGCCAATACATTTTTTTTAAATCTTCAAGAAAAACTGTGATTGTTTTAGTGGGTATTTTTCTAAGTAAATGAAAACTTGTATAATGGTATTTTAGAGAATGCCAGATAAGTGCATGTTTCAAGTTAACGTTTTTCTCATCACTTGTATGTTTATACACAGCATGGAACTTTAATAAAACCATCCTGAAAACTTAAGGATTGTTTTTCTTCTAAAAATGTAAGATGGCATAATTTATTTTCTTGTCCTCTTATTATTTGCTTGTTCTAGTGAACTAATTTATCATCCTCTCAACCTTCTTCTTTTACAATCTTCAGGCTCTATATTAAACATTACTCTATTTTGGTACATCTCAATTCACTTATCTTTTAGCATCACCCCAAGTAAAAATGGCTGCAAAGGGTAATGAAATAGTTTAAAAGAGGCAACAGGACAGCTTATACAGCTTGGTACACCTACCATAAAACTTTGCACAGATGTACAAGTATAATAATTTATTACATAATTTACAGGTTCAAAGTGCAAATCACTAGACATCTTTGTTTCTCCCAATGCCTTGAACTCTCTGGATCTCTCTCTCTCTTTTTTAAGGAAAACAAAGGGTTAAAAGCAGAAAGTTGCTAAATTCCAAAAAAAAAGACAAGATTTCAAACATGCATATTATCTTGATATCAAAAGGTGTAGTAAAACCAACATTTTATTACTACATAATTCCCTTTTCCATTTAAAACTTAGATAGGATAGCACTTGAGATTGTGAGAGATTTGGTTTTAGCAATTAACCAGATTTAATTGTATTTGAAAGGTAAATACAAGGCTCCAACAGAGATACTAACTCTTCTGGTCAAAAAAAAAGCAAAGACAAGTGGATAATTATTTTTAGTGGAGCTTTAAAAACCTCTGAGAGGCCAGGTGTGGTGGCTCACGCCTGTAATCCTAGCCCTCTGGGAGGCCAAGGCAGGCAGATCGTTGGAGCTCCGGAGTTTGAGACCAGCCTGAGCAAGAGCGAGACCCAGTCTCTACTAAAAATAGAAAGAAACTAGCTGGGCAACTAAAAATATATAGGAAAAAGAAAAAATGTAGCTGGGCATGGTGGCGCATGCCTGTAGTCCCAGCTACTTGGGAGGCTGAGGCAGGAGGATCGCTTGAGCCCAGGAGTTTGAGGTTGCTGTGAGCTAGGCTGATGCCATGGCACTCACTCTAGCCCAGGCAACAGAGTGAGACTCTGTCTCAAAAAAAAAAAAAACAAAAGAAAACCCTGAGAAGCTTGCATTGACCTTCTGGCCTCCGGTCCACAAAATAATACTTCATTTGATAAGCGAAAGTAGAAAGCAATTTTGTGAATTAGCTCTGTCAAAGTGAAGCACATGAAATGAGCCTAAAATCACAATAAATTAAGAATATAAAAAATTAAATTTTCACAGAAGTTTTCAGGGATGTTTGTTGACAATGACCTATATATGATAAAGTTATTTGTTAATAAATTCACACACTACAAAGCAGTAATTAGCCAATGAATTTTCATTTTTCTTTCTTCAATACTAAAAAGGGATAATCGCACTATCATAATTTGATGAGGACTGTATATGCTAATTAGGACATTCTGCAAACTACTACTAAAAAATGTGGTAAATCCTAAACTATATATAGTTAATACTGCAATTTTAAACCCCCCAAAAGACGAGAAAGTAAGTATTTAAAAGTCAATTACAATTTTTACTAGGCAAATCATTATAACCCACATGCCTTCTCTGAGACTTTCATTTGGTTTATTTTTTAAAAATAATTGTAGTAAATGCTTTAGTATAAAAACTGTTTAAGTCCATGATTATTACTGTTTTCCAATTTAAGATGAAGCATTCTATTAAAAAGACTAACTGTACAAATGTTTACAACTCAGTGTAAAATTACTACGTAGTAAAAACACATATAATTCTTTGCTCCTACTGTCTAAAAAAGAAAATTTCTACTTTTTATGTTTTAAAATTTTTGATTGAAACATTTGTATAGAGGATTTATTAGACCTACTCATAACTACATCTTAAAAAGCATCAGTACCATGTCACTGGTGCACCACTGTAAAAGAAAACAAAACATTTTATAAACAAACCCACTAATGTGACTACTTAGGGGTGGGGCACAGTGGCTCATGCCTGTAATCCCAGCACTTTGGGAGGCTAAGGCAGGAGGACTGATTGAGGCCTGGAGTTCAAAAACAGCCTGAGTAACACAGCGAGACCGCATCTCTACAAAAAAATAGAAAAATTAACTAGGTGTGGGAGTGTGTGCCTATAGTCCCAGCTACTTAGGGGGCTAAGACCAGGAGTTTGAGGTTGTAGTGGGCTGTGAAGATACCTCTACACACTAGCCTGAGCCAAAGAGCAAGACTGTATCTCTAAAAAAAAAAAAAAAAAGACTAAAATAGTAGTAGGTCTCCAAGTTAATTTCCCCACCAGAGTTTTACAGGCTTCCTCACATATTGGAGGCCTAACAAAAATAATCTTATAGCTGCCACTTTGTTCCAAAGATAATTTTCCTAATAAATTTCTACAGAATTGGTTCAGTAAAATAAAATCTCTCCCCTAATCCAGGGATCTTTTCTTGAAACTGAATAGAAAAAAAGAAAAACAATGCTAGGGAAACAAAGGCATAATCCCAGAGTCTCTGCCTCTCTTAGGCCCACCTCTATTATAGGGTGGAAAGAGTAGACTTACTTGTAAAGTACTTTGTCCTCTTACTACTTATGGTGACCTATATTCCCCAAACACTTCCCGAACAATATGTAGGCATATTACATGGCTCAGGACGTAATAAGATGGATTAAGCATTCTGTACAATTTAAAAAGTATTATCAAGCCCCTTCAAAAACAAACTAAAATGGTAGGTTGGACACCTGTGAATGACTCAATGATTTCTGAGATGAACTAATTAGGATGCAACAAGCATAGGGTTCTCCTAATGAAATCAAGCCTTATGGAAAGGAAACAAGTTGTGGTTTGCAAGAACTCAAAGATACTTTGGATCTACTATAAAGCTTGCCAAAAACACGGAGAAATTCTTTTACTAAGCAGACTGAAGAAGATGCATTACATTTAAAAATCACTGTCAATTTTACTAGGACTTTGAATACAAAATCTTTACACCTCTTTTATAATAAAGAGTATTTAGATCTCACTTGTCAGGAAAATATCTTTCATTATTAAGAAAGAAAATTTTTATAAACTCGTTTCTTCTGATATGTTTCAAAGCATCTAACATAACCTCTTCAGAAATTCCACAGCGTAAAAATAAACAACATGCAAACACTTAAGAATTTTACATTCTTTGAAAAACAATACAAATTAGAAAGAAAATTTTGTATGCAGTCAAAGAAGAGTCAGAGCTCAAGTCTGAACTTAGCCAATAAAGGCAGATGATCTGAAGAGTTATTTTCATTTGGAAGTCCATTAACAGTCCATAAATCTTGTTCTGTAAGAAGTGACAGTCTAGCTAGAAGCTTCAAGCCACCAACCAAAGCAACTTCAGCTCCTACGTTAAAGAAGCACATACACATTTAATGAAACTGTGTCAACAGATTATTGTAAATAAATCATACAAGTCTTTTTTCCAAACAACTATGATACAGAACTTGAGACCCCTCCAGAAGACAAATATGAAAGTTTTTAGAATATGAATAGTTTTATTGATAATAAAAACAATATTTTATTGTTTTATTGATAATAAAACAATAAAGTTTTATTGAATTATAACCTAATTATAATTCTCAAACATATAGCAATTTCAGATTTTTTTTTGTATGTTAGATATTTTTTTCTATTTCAAGTTCTGCAAGTAATTTTTAAAAGAAAATACCAATGTAATACATAAGAATGTTAAGAGGAATTTGAGTTTGACAACATAAGAAATTCATCCACCAACGATACTGTAATTGCATAAAACCAGACAGATCAAGCTACAGGCCCATAGGAAGTTTATAAATTAGTATAATTTGGTCTGAGAGTCAGCACCCCCAGTGGAGTAAAAGATGACATGCTCTTCATTGCTAAGAAATTTGAGATGCTGCTCTATGACACTCTCCTGCCACCTAGTGAATGTCTGTCAGCATGACACTACCAGAACCTTACTACAAATTCAAAGCAGCAGGCATATTTTGTAGAGTTGATCTAGTAGGAGGAGTAAACCACATCTGAGTGTTACTATTTAATAAGGTTATTCCCAGAAGAAAGGGGGAGGGGGAAACGAAAAGGAAAAGTAACACCAAAAAGCTGTAAGAGAAAAAAAGGGAAAATGAGAAAAGAAAAAAAAAGCTGCCCACATTTTGGACTTCAAAGCTTTCTTACTGTTTTTGTACTTTCACTAGTTGTATTAAACTGCAATTTCTTTTCCACTTTAAATCCTTTGGTTATGGTTTGAAACCTGATTTTCATTGAATCATATAAGGAAAAGTGTTTCATAACCTTTGCTTTTTGAAAACACACAGTACAGACTTTTCTATAAAAGATCCAATATTCCAGGATCAACATGACAAAATTGTGTATTGTTGGCAGCATAAGAATGATCCTACAAAGAAGGCACCATGCCTCAGTAAAATTTAAGCACAAAAATATATGACCATTAACAACATACTCAGTTTTTGTCACAGAAAAAAACAGTAAATTTATGGCAAATAAAAACAAGGGGCAATAATGAAAGACCTATAAATCAGAAGCTGACTGGAACTGGAGGGTAGGACTGAGGATATACTTCTTAGGTAATAACTTACTTTGGGGTGTTTTACTGCCTCCCTTTATGCATGTAATCAACTGATTTATTCAATTATATTACCAATCTATTTCAAAATATTTTAACTTTTAAATCTAGAACTTCATCTAGATGTTTAGCTAACTTTCTCAACCTTAAGGTTTTAGCTACTGTGCTCTCTAGCAGAATTTCAGATTACAGGTATTTTTTACCTGGAAGCCTAGCAATATCTTCCTTTTCTGCAGAGTAGAAAATATAATCCACAGTTATGGCACTCCGGGAATGACAAGTGGTCACTTCTGGAATTCCAGTGTCAGGAAAGTAATGTGAATAAACAGATGACAAGCTGAAATGGTGCTGCAAATTTGAAGATACTCTAAATTGAAAACAAAAAGTGTTTAGCATCAAGTTTTTCAAGACTTCTATAATTCCTTATATTTAAAGTACTTTTTCATTTGATTTCTATACTAAGACCAAACATGAGGACAAACTTTATTTAAATAGACCATATCATCATTTAGCATTCATTTATTTATACAGTGATATCAAACCCATTAACAAGGTTATAATATATGTGGGTTAAAAAAAGCTCAATATGATTTTTTAATATTTATAACACGTTTGAGAGCCTCCACTCACTAATGAACATATATTTTAAAACAACTTACGAGTTTTGTTGTTGCATTTTTAAGAAAGAAAAAGTGGACTTCAGGAATGCTATTTGGGGCCGGGCGCGGTGGCTCACGCCTGTAATCCTAGCACTCTGGGAGGCCGAGGCGGGTGGATCGTCTGAGCTCAGGAGTTCGAGACCAGCCTGAGCAAGAGCGAGACCCCGTCTCTACTAAAAAATAAAAAGAAATTAGCTGGACAACTAAAAATATATTTAAAAAATTAGCCAGGCATGGTGGCACATGCCTGCAGTCCCACCTACTTGGGAGGTTGAGGCAGGAGGATTGCTTGAGCCCAGGAGTTTGAGGTTGCTGTGAGCTAGGTTGATACCACGGCACTCTAGTCCGGGCAACAAGAGTGAAACTCTGTCTCAAAAAAAAAAAAAAAAAAAGGAATGTTATTTGGAAACCTCCATCAAAAGATGTCAGAGGGACCATATTTTCCTGTTGCTGTGACATTAGATAATTTTGTACTGAATCTTAAAACAGCTTCTATAATGGTTTACATTTACCTCATACAAAACCTACATGTGATGTTATGGGTTAAGTATTTAAAATATCATTTTATAGTGACATATCATGAATTTTATGGATCTTTTATGCCTTGAAAGAAAATAAAAATTTTAAAAATTTATCCAACAAACATCAACTAAGTTCAAGGCATTATCTTAAGTGCTGAGGACAACAAAGATAAAAATGTTTCCCCTGGTTTTAAAGTATTCATATGTCAATGTACTTTTAAATTCCTTAAAAGTGCCCTCCAAGTTTTAGCAACTTTTTATGTCTAAGGACTTATATTTACAAATTATTAAATGTTTACATAGGTTTCCTGCAAACTATTAGCTTGCTGTCAGTTTTTCAGTTTGAAGATATAAGCTATGCATACAAACACACTGTATTTATATAGATGCTCAAAAATATCTTTTCTTAAGCCTCATTTTGTTATAAAAATGATTTAAGAATTACTCAAAACTAAGTATTTGTCAGTCAGATTAGCCTTCATTATTAATCTTAGAGAAGTTTTTACTATATTTGAAAAGTTTAATCATGAATTTTTAAATATTCATTTTTAAAAATTCAAAAAGACTGCTGCTTTTCTTACTAGGTTCTTACTTATGAGATAATTATTTTCTCAAAACAAGGTATGCAAAATAAAGATTGCAAAAAAAGCAGATAAAAGATGCTTCGAATTTGGTTCCTAAATTTAAATGTTAAAACACAAAACTATAGAAGAGCTACAATATAAAACAATCTCAGTATTTTAAGAATCTCCCAAAAAGAAAAGATTTAAGTATCAGTCCTGCTGTATTAACATATCATTTTCTCATTTCCTCAACCACAGTCTCAAGTATTCGTGTTTCTTTAATATGGAATCCTGCCATTTTCTCCCCCTTCCTCTAATGACCTTTTCCTACAGTTCAAGAGATAAATAAAAATTATCATCTTTTCAATTGGCATATTCTTTTTTGGATCAATTCTCCTATAGATTGTTTTCATATCAGGTAAATCAAAGACGACGCAGGATCTTCTTGATATCTGAAAGATATTTTTCTGTGATTTAACTTTTGTTTTAAATATGTAATGGTAATAAATCTGAAAGAGTACTTGAGCTGGTCCAGGTACATGAACATAGACAAGCTGTTTCTTTTGTAACACTGCCCAGGCACTTACTGTGCATCAAACATTGCGCTTTACATGCTTTGTCTCATCTCATCCTCACAACAACCCAAATAAGGAAACAATCTCAGAGATGTTAAGATTCTTGCCAAAAATCATGCAGCTAAAAAGTAGCAGGGTCAGAAGTGGAACTCAGGAGTACTTAAGAACCAGCACTCTTCACTAGCATAGAATATCATCATCTGCAATTTTCATCCAAGTGATTTTTGAGAAATGATTTAATTCAAATACAGTCAGCAAATGTCTACCGTTGCTTCCCAGAACTCACTTTTCAGCTGTCACTACGACCTCTGTTTTCTTCAGCTCTGTTTGTGTCAGATCACTGTCTGTAAAAACAAAGAGAAATATAATAATACTGTTAATATAGTTTTGTTCTAGTTTGCCTTAGTATAGTTGTCTTACTCTAGAAACAGTATTCAAGACATATGTATGAAACATTCATCCTAGAATCTACATGTTTCAACAGTCTCCGGAATTAGAAAAAATAAAATACAAATAATTCCAAAGCAAAATGCAAATAAATCATGCACAGATAATTCTGGAACTTTAAAAAGGTAAATTTTTATCTTCTTTGGGGTTGTCAGTGGCAGAAAATAAAGAAAGAAAAGAGAAAAAAAAAGAAAAAAAAAGGTAAATTTAGAGCTCTTAAAAAAAAAGAAACGAATAAATAACTACGTATTTATTTACATGAATATTCATCCCTAAGATGTTAGCCTTTTAAAAAATTTAGTTTTATGTCTTCAAACAGAATACTATTACCCAGCAGACTGCCAAAATGTATTGCAAACACTTACCTGTCTTTTCTACTTTTGGTACCTGCTGTACCTCATACACACAGTTCTGTGAGATACCTAGGTTTGGGGGCCAAATTGGAATAGATAAAATTCTTTGTCCCCGTGAAGACTGTTCCTGGCCAGATACCTAAACAAAATTTCAACAGGTATCTTAAGTGAATAGATTTTAAATAGTTTATTTATTGAAAAGTTTATGTCTTAAATAAAAGGTAATCCAAAAATGGTAAATATTACCCTTTATTCATTATATTGTGATTACTTGTGCTTATAAAATCTTGTTCAAATACAGTTTGGAAGCACTTATCATTTATATAGAAATGACAATCTTTTCCTACGTATTTTTCTCTAATTTGGGCATCCAAATGACCTATAGCTTTGCACTAATATGACCTATCCTTTTTTTGCTATTCTGCAATATAGTTCCTATTATATCAAATACAGGCATACCTCAAAGATGTTGAGGGTTTGGTTCCAAACAACCACAATAAGGCAAACATTGCAATAAAGTGAGTTGCACAAATTTTTCAGTTTCCCACGGAAAAGTTATGTTTACACTATATTGCAGTCTACTTACCATGTAAACAGCATTATGTCTAAAAAAATGTAGATATCCTAAATTTAAAAAAGCATTATTGCCCCAAAGTGCTAACAATCATGAGAGCCTTCAGTGAGTCATCATCTTTTTGCTGGTGGAGGGTCTGGTCTCAATGTTGATGGCTGCTGACTGATCAGGGTAGTAGTTGCTGAAGGCTAGATTGGCTGTGGTAATTTTTAAAAATGAAACAATGAAGTTTTGCCATATTGATGAACTCTTCCTTTCACAAAATATTTCTCATTAGCACGTGATGCTGTTTGACAGCATTTTACTCACAGTAGAACATCTTTCAAAATTAGTCAATCTTCTCAAACTCTGCCACCGCTTTATCAACTAAGTTTATATAACATTCTAAATCCTTTCAACAATGTTCACAGCATCTTTGCCAGGAGCAGGTTCCACCTCAAGAAACCACTTTCTGAATATCTGAGATAAAACGGAGGGGGGCCACTTTCTTTGCTCATCCCTAAGAAGCAACTCCTCATCTGTTCAAATTGACCATGAGATCATAGCACCTTAGTCGTCTCTTCAGGCTCCACTTTTAATTCCATTTAATTCTAGTTCTCTTGCTGCTCTCTAGTTCTCTTTTCCACCACACCTGCAGTTACTTCCTCCACTGAAGTCTTAAATCCCTCAAAGTCATCCACGAGAGTCTGAATCAATTTTTTCGAAACTCCTGTTGATGTTAATATTTTGACCTCCTCTCATGAATCATGAATATTCTGAATGGCATCTAGGATGGTGAGTCCTTGCTAGGTTTTCAATTGACTTTTCCCAGATCCATTAGAGGAATCACTATCTATGACAGATATAGCCTTATAACATTTCTTAAAGAGTAAGACTTGAAAGTGAAAATTATTCCTTGATCCATGGTGCTGCAGAATCGATGCTGTGTTAGCAGGCATGAAAATAACATTGACCTCCTTGTACATTTCCATCAGAGCTCTTGGATGACCAGGTGTATTGTCAATAGTTAGCCACAGTTTTAAAGGAATCTGTTTTTCTGAGCAGGAGGTCTTAACAGTGGGCTTACAATAGGCAGTAAACCATGTTTTAGACAGATGTGCTGTCATGCAGGGTTTGTTCTTCCATTGATAGAGCACAGACAGAGTAAATTTAGCATAATTCTTAAGGGGCCTGGGATTTCCAGAATGGTCAATGCGCATTGGCTCCAGCTTAAAGTCACCAGCTGCATATGCCCCTAATAAGAGAGTTAGCCTGTCCTTTGAAGCCAGGCGTTTACTTCTCTCTAGCTATGAAAGTGCTAGATGGCATCTTCTTCCAATAGAAGACTGTTTTGTCTATCTTGAAAATCTGTTGTTTAGTGTAGCCATCTTCATGGATGGTCTTAGCTAGATCTTCTGGATAACTTGCTACAGTTTCTATGTCAGCATTTCCTGCTTCACCTTGTACTTTAATGTCATGGAGATGGCTTCTTTCCTGAAGCCTCAAGAACCAACCTCTCGGCTTGGTGTGAGATGGCTCATTCAGTAGCACTTTTCACTTCCTTTAAGAACTTTTCCTTTGCATTCACAACTTTGGTAACCGTTTGGCACAGGAGTATATACCTTGGCCTATCTTGGCTTTCCATACACCTTCTTCACCAAGCTTAATCATTTTTAACTTTTGATTTAATGTGAGAGATGTGTGACTCTTCCTTTCACTTGAGCACTTAGAGGCCATTGTAGGGTTATTAACTTGCCTAATTTGAATATTGTTGTGTCTCAGGGAATAGGGAGGTCCAAGGAGAGCAATTCGTAGAGCAGTCAGACACTTGGCATCAATTCAGTTTGTCATCTTATATAGGCATGGTTCGTAGTACTCCAAAACAATTACAATAGTAACATCAAAGATCACTGATCACAATCAACATAATAGATAAATAAAAGTCTGATATTGCAAGAATTACCAAAATGTGACACAGAAAGTTAGCACATGCTGTTGGAAAAATGGTGCCAGTAGAGTTGCTGAGGCAGAGTTGCCACAAATCTTTAGTTTGTAAAAAACACAACATCTGCAAAGTGCAATAAAGCAAAGCACAACAAAACGAGGTATGCCTGTACCTAAGAGAGATAAACTCTTATAAAACTTTAAACTACCACTCAAAACTCCAGTGGTGGAGGGCTTATTTTGATTAAATATACTGAAGATCAAATGATCTAAAGTAAACAGTGGGAAACACAATAAGAACAGTAAAATAGCATAAATTATTCTAAGCCAAAGAATTAAAATGTTCATCATTATGTAAATGAAAACTTATATAATAAAATATTACAATACTGTTTTGCCAACGGTATTGCCCACATCCCGCATTCAAAATTCTATCCTGATTTGTGAAGTATCCGTGTCTGTTAATGCTTTTATTTTTCTTCTTCCCCCTCATTTTGGTTTTATTTTGCTGCTTGCTAATTCCTCCAAACAGTATATTGCCACAGATCAATGAAAAAGATGAAATTTGACTACATGAATATATTATAATTACTTATTAGTGGTTGTGGAAAATCATGAGAGCTTGGTAAAGTAAGGCTACTGGATCATCCAAGGTTTTCAAATAGCCATGTAGTCACTATCCTCACATTATGATGAAAAGAGCAACTAAGTCCACCCCCTAATAATGATGAAGTGAATACTTACCTTTCCTATGGCAAGTCCTTCATAATTCAATTTTCCTTCCTTTATGAAACTATAGAGTGGAGAACCAGGAACAGAATTAAAGTCACCACATATAACAATAGGACAGCAGCTGCCATCTTTCTGATGGGCAACACTAGAGATCTCTGCCAGTAGCATTGCCAATTGGGTTAACTTTATATCACCTCGCCTTGGATTATACAATAAATGTGTATTAGCCACACAGATCGCAGGAGAGGCAGCACATGGGATCTTTGGCTGCAAGAGTAATACTAATCCAACATTGTCTCTGTCCAACAGAGGAATGTCACGGCGGTAGAATTCCACTGGGTTCACTGATAAGAGCGAAAATTTGGAATGTTTGAAGCAAATAGCACAGCCATCAGGTTTCTTTCCTGTCCGCATCTTATATTCACAGTGATAACCTATAAGAAAGAAATGAATTTAAAACAAGAGACTGTTTTCATATACATATGTCAGAACACAGCTAACCTAATATTTTTGAATAATATTTACCGAAGTATATTCTGTAAACATTAGTATTGATCTTTATACATGCTGGAATAAAAATGTGTGAGACTGGGTCTAACACACCTCTTTACTAAAAGACTAAGTCCTTAATACACCAATGTGTATTATCACTCTCCCATTTCCACCCTAGTAAAACTCAGAATCATGATGACAGTAAGGTCTTACAATAATCTACCCCTTCACTCCCCTCTGCTCTTTTTGCCTGTAACTCTTTCCCCCTCACTCCATTCCAACCACACTGGCCGCCTCACTTGCCTTAACACACTCCAACCTCAGGGCTTTCCCCTTGCTATTTCCACTGCCTAGAATGCTCTAATCATAGCTCGTTACTTCACCTCCTTCAAATCTGTGTTCAAATGTCACCTCCTCTGATCATTTTGTTTAAAATGAAAGCTTCCCCATTCTACTTTGCTGCTCTTCTCTAGGAAACTATTAATATCATTATTATATATGTTATTTACTTATTTATTTGGTTTATTGTCAGCCTTTCTCCACTAGAATGTACACTCCACAAGGGAGGAAACATTTATCTATTTGCCCTATGGTATAATCAACTGCCTAGAACAGTACATGGTATACAGTAGGCACTCAAAGAGTATTTACTATGATGAATGCAAAATAGACACATTTCTCAAATTTATGTGACCACAGATGACCTATTTCTAGAAGTATTTAATCAAATGAGTTTTCAGCTTCTATCCATTAGGCACTGGTAGACACTGGTATTATAATGAGCAAGACAGAATGGTTCCTGATCTCACGGAGCTCAGAATCTTAAAAAGTTTAGTGCTTAGCATAGTAACTCCTAGGAAAGGGAGCTACTAAGAGATTCTTAAGCACTTTTCTGTTTAAATTAGAGTTATATATCAACACAATAGTTTCCACTTGAAATACCTCAATCTTTTCCTGACCTTTGGAAATTGTTTTCAAAATTAAGATTTTTAGTCCAAATATACCATATATCTTTGTAAGCAAGTTATGTTTTAATAACACACAAATCTTAAAAAGTAAATTTGGGTAAGATAAAAGTTATATTGTACCCAGTGATTCCAAACTTGGCCTGATCTCTGTTCCATAATGATCTTCTTGAACTTCTTGCAAACAAAGTACCTTGGAAGAAAAAAACAGTTTGAATTAAATCATGGAGATGCACATATAAATGTTCTGGTGCTTCACTTTTAAAAACAGGCTTCTAAAATTCCAAACCTGATGACAGTTGAAATAAAACACTTATAATACTTTTGTATTATTTATAGATCTACCAAATTAATGTTTCCAAATTTATCAATCTCAACACTCTGGCCTTATGGGTAAATGTCTAACCTCTCTAAAAAATTAAAATTAAAAACTCTGGTTTTTAATCATATGAAGCTCTCTTTCCATCCAAAATTATTTCCCAAATGAAATATTTTAAATTTACATATCAGGATATTTTTCCTGAATTTACATGTTCATTAGTACTAATCTTTCAAGCCCTTTCTTAAGAGGTTGATTTTTTTGAATGCCATCATGTTGATGAAATTGTTTGCATGAATTATTGAAATTTCAAATAAAAGGAAATGTTTACTGAATAATATGTTGCCAATCCCTGTCTCAAAACTAACGAATACTTAAAACTTTTTGGATCCTTTTTGAAAAGTTAGATGATTATTTACACCAATAATCATTAAGAAATGACACTCTGAAAGTCACAATATCTTGTTAATGTTTCATCATTATTCTTAAACATCTTCCCTTCTTACCCCACAAAGGAAATGGAGAAAATCATTTAGTTCACAAAAGCACAAAAGAAACATTTAATTCAACTTTTTCTTGTGTGAAGAATTTTGATAATATATTGCACTTACATCTGCATCAAAGTGTTTAATTTCTTTCAGAATATTGGGAAACCTAAAACTCCAGTGTAATACCAGCCGCCGGCAATGTCTATAGAGGTGTGAGTTATCTTCCAATAAATCTTGTGAAAGTATATTATAGGACATCACTGAAAAGTCAAACTTGTCCTCATTGTCTTCACATTTGGGATCAATGTTTTTGTCTCCTAAGATCTTCGTTTTTTCTTTGTTATGGTTACACAAATATTCCCAATTTCGTTGTATCATGCCTGTTAAAATAAATATATTGGACAAAATATAAGAATGAATCAAAAGGAGACCATATAGTTTCCTGTATATAAACATTTTTAAGCCTTTTAAAAATTCCCACATGCATTGAATAGAATGTTTTTCCCTAGCAAATGGTAATATAGCACCAAATAACCAGAAGTTGTCATCAAATTGATTACAAAGGCAGTATCATGACATATTGGTTGATTAGGAGGTATAAAACAGGTTTAAAAGGATCTGGCTAGTCACTGTGGAGGCTGTGAGGGTATGCAATAAAGCTCAGACTATACAGGGGCTGTAGTTTTTCACTTCTCTATGATAAAGAAGTGGTTCTGCCGCAGACGTGCTTAACAACTTTAGAACTATAATATATTTAATATTTGTATGTCATAGTTGGCTTTTCAATAAGATGATTTCACACTGTATTTTATTCCCTATTAGTAAGATAAGATCATCACACGATTAACTAAATTCCAGAAACTATTCTTAGTTCAGAATTCTGGTTTACAAATGAATGAAGGGTGTATAATGGCAATAAATAGAAGTAGTATTTAGTATTTCAAACACTAAAGTGGAACAATGCAAAGGAACAAAAATATATTCAATATACACCAAAGCAAAAGTTAAATGTGACATAGCTAGAGAATGCTTATGAATGATGGCTGGTTGATGAACCTAGCATGCAACAACTAGGAATGTGTTTTTATTCTGCAAAGACATCATATATTTTGCAAACATGATGAACAGAGGCGGGGCGTGGTGGCTCAAGACTAATCCTAGTACTTTGGGAGGCTGAGGTGGGAGGATCACTTGAGGCCAGGAGTTCAGGACCAGCCTGAGCAACACAGTGAGACCTTATTTCTACAAAAAAATAAAAAAATAATTAGCCAGGCATGGTGGCATGCCAGCTACTTGCGAGGCGGAGGCAGAAGGATCTCTTGAGCCTAAGAGTTTGAGGTTGCAATGAGGTTTGACGATGCCACTGCACTCTAGCCCAGGAAACAGAGTGAGACCCTGTCTCAAAAAAAAAGTGATGTAAAGAGAATAGAAAAGCATGAGGCTTTTTAATTGTAGGCAGTCCTCAACTTAGAAATGACTACCATATGTACGTGCATATGTGTGTGTTTACCTTTGGTCTTATCTGCCTCATTTTACCATTAAAAAGGATGCTCCATGGAGAAAAACGTGGAACTTTTAGAGAGTCTATGAGCTCAAAAGAAAGAGAAAACAAGAAATAGGAAGAACATGGGAAAATAGATTTGGAGATAGACTTTCAAATATGATTAAATTATATGAAAAAAAAATCTCAGCCCTAGAATATCTCTCTCTATCCTGCAAAAAGGATTGTGCTTCATTGAATTACAATGCCTAAAATTCTACCAAGTAAAAATTAAATTCAGGTAAAATATTCTATACATTTATGCACAGAGTGAAAAAAGACTAAAAGGAAATACACCAATATTTTTAAGAGTAGTTATTAACACCTCTAAGAGGTAGGATTGTGGAAGATTTTTCTAAATCTTCTACAATAACAATATATTTTTAATAAAAATATCAATACATTATCAAAAAATGCCATTGAAATAATTTTGAAACACCCTCTGATAAATTAGTTTAATCAGGTTGCTTTCTTCAAAATCTAAGTAGCTGATACATGTTGCAGTATGGGAACAGAAATTTTGACCAGAGGACAGAAGAAGCAGATAATTTTTATGATTAGTGAGGTCTGGGTAGAACAAGGGAGTTGGAAATTTATGATACCATGAAGATACTAGAAGGGTAAATAAAAAAAAGGTGGAAGGAAACAAAACCAAACTAAACTCTTCAACCATTACAGAATTCTGTCTAGAGCTTGTCTGATTCCCAGGAAAGGAAAGGAAACTATCCCCTTCCCTACCATCACTGAACACGGGGAATCCTACCTGCTATGGCTCAGAACTAAGGCCCACTGTACTAGTTTCACAGAGCTACTTTGAGATTTGTAACAGTTTCTATGGGGAAAAATGGAATGATCAAGTTTTTAGAACACAATTCATTCATAAGTTGGGGACTGTCTATGACGGTTTTAGGCACAAATCAAAGTCATCTTATGTATACAAAATGGAAAGGGTTCTAGTCATGCAAACAAAATGTAAGCTATTAGTATAAATACTTAGAACACTATCCTGGTATTACGGTCATATTAAAATATGAAAGATGAAAGTCTAAAAAACTTGCTCATATTTCCTTATAAAATATATACAGGTAATGGCATATAAATACATTAAGATTTTTATAGTCCTCGTAATTAAAGGGTTTGTAAACCACATCTTTTTGCAATTCCACTTTTTAAGTAACCAAGACCACTGGATTATCTAATTAATACAGTGGCTTTCAAACTTCTATAACTTGTAGAACCCTTTAGCATCACTTTTCATGTCATGGAACACCAATCCATGGCATGTTGGGACTGGGCCTGGGATGATGCCGTGAATGCACATTGTGTCCTGTCTATATTTGCTTTTAATAAACTTACAGAAATGTGTTCCAATGCTAGGGTTCCATGGAAGACAATTTGAAAACCACTGATAAACTGGATAGTCTTTGGCCTTCATATACTTCACAACATAAATTCACACTAGAAAAACTTATATACCTTCCATATCAGGAGGAACAAGGTGATCACAGCAGAGAAGACAGATGAATCAAAGAAAGTAAGCAATAGGCCTGATCAGGTTTTTAAGGTGTCTAATTAAAAAGTCATAATTGAGTCACACATATCCTTCAAATACCACTTTAAAGTGACAGGCAAGTTAGCAATGCTGTTCTCTTGACTGAAAAGTATTAGTGAAATATCAGAAGTCACAAACATGGCTTAACGAAGAGCATTTTCCTTATTCACAACACCTAGGAAGAATGGACACATAAAGAGTCAGGTTGCAATCAAGGCGTATCAGTATGTAAATGTAATTCCCCATTCATTGAAGGGAAAACAACACCACAATTTTCTGAGTACCTACTATGAAGCCAACAGTGTGTTAGGCACTTTCACATACAATATCTCACTTCATCCTCAACAAACTTTCAAAGTAGGCATTATTTTACACTAAAAATCCAAGGAGCAAAGAGGTTAAAGTAATCTGTTCAAGTTCACACAGTGGTGGATCACAAATGAGAGCAGCTGCTTTTTTGCTGGCATTGAAAAAGAAAGAAAAAAAAAGATGAGAGCAGAGAGAGTCATTCCTAAGACCACGCTTATGTTAGTACGCCGCAGCTCCATCTAAGAGCATACCAGATTTAAATGAGGCTAAAGAGGAGTGTGCTGACCTCATTAACAACAAATATATGAATGAAAAGCAATCTGATATCATCGTACATATAAATCATGGATTGTTCTTAGGAACCTAATTTTAATGCCTCTTAATACACCTTCATTCAAACAATTATTTCTTGTTTATCTCCATATGCAGTGGTTAAGTACTACACACACAGATTTTCACTTTGGGGTGCTTAGAATTTCTACTTATACCTATTTGTTTTTTCTAACTGGGTTCTTTATAACTGTGTAGCAGTAAGTTACACATTTATTTGAATATACAAGAACCCTAACTGGACCCAGTTGAGGCCTGTAGACCTGCAATCCCCAACCCCCGAGCCAAGGCCCAGAACCGTCTGTGGCCTGTTAGGAATCCAGTTGTGCATCATTGCTGGAACTCCAGCCCCCTCAACCCCTGCCCCCTCATCTGTGGAAAAATTGTCTTCCATGAAACCAATACCTGGGGCCACTACTGTAGACTACTTTCTGATAACAAAGGCAGAGGGAAACAGAAGAGCACTAATTTTTCTACTCTAACTTCCAGGTGACACTCACTCTGAGTGTCTTCCTTTGACAAACTTACACGTTAGCTTCCTACACATTAACACCCACACAGGCTACTTTCAAATATTTTCAGAGAAATGACCTTCACTGAAAATTATAGTTCAATAAAAAAGACAATTCCAAGTTCTACTTGGACATGTCATTTCTACCTTTAGGAGATGGGGGAGGAAGATAGGGTGGGGGCAGGACTGGTGGCACAGAGGGAGTCTCGTGAATTGCTTAGAGTAAAAAGAATACGAGAAAAATAGAATTAACATTTTTTTAAAAACTGTGTTTCTCAAAGTTGAATAAGATGTGGTTCCCTTTCTTAAAGATAATACTTCTGACAGATGTTTCAAGATTATATCTATAGACCCCAATTTGAGAAATACAGATTTAATAAACTAAAATCTTATTCTGTAAGAAAATGCCTTTCATTTATGATTATTTCTATTTAAGAGTCCTTTTATCTTATTTACCCTCATCTTTTATGTGATGGTGACATTTATCAATTTCTAAGAAGTCTAAGGACCTTTATTTCAATAACATTGGATGTGAAAATTATTCTTAAATTAAACTTACTTGACATCATTTCAAAAAGAATTCATTTTTTCCTACCAGAAAACTACTGGCTAAAAATAAAGACCAAACACCTCAAAAACCTATAGGAGGTTTTAAGGATTAGGTATGAAAGCTGCAACTTAGTCTATCACTTATGTCTATTTCTGCACCAAGATAAACATCACCTTTACCTTGGTGTTTTCTTCGTTTTGATGAAGGCTCATCTCCCTCAGAGTTCATGACGTAACTAGAGAGATGAATCAAAGATGTCTGGCTCAGGCTGTCAGGTCTCCAGTTATAGTACTGAAACTGAGCTTTAGACTCAAACAAACAAGGTGGTCTCCAATTTAGTGAAAAATGCCTACTACTGAAGTATGGGTAAGGAGCACGAGAGTAATGTCCAGGCCACCTCATACAACTAGAAATATGTCTGTTCCAGCAACACCTCTGTAGATTCTCCCACGGTGTAGTCCAGTCTCTGCCCAGACTTCTCGGGTGATGGGGAAACACGGGGTATCTAAAAGAAATAAATACACTCCTTGAGGCACCACTTTTTGTTTGGCTACCGTACACAAAATCTAAATCTATTTCCTCAAGGGAAGATAATGTCTAAGATTAAATATCTGACTTCTAATCTGTGAAGGGTGAGGGGAAAAGCACCCATGATTTAACTATTAGCATCAATATTTTAATATTCTCTCTCTAAACAACCATGAGTGGTATTCTAAATACTTAACACAGAATGCCACCTAGGCTCCCAAAATACCATGTAGCCCTCGAAAAGTCCACAGTTCAGCTGAGAGATGAATCAACCATCAAACTGGTATTCAGAGTAGCTTTCTACCACCTAATAAAACTCAGTGGGAAAAGAAAATCCACAGCAAACATAATACTTAAAACAAATATGGAACACACACGGGGCTACAATTAAGTGAATCTTTCCTCCCACTTGGGTTTGAAGTAAAAAACATGTTTCTGACCAGTTTTTATACCAAAGTTAGATTTTTCCAAATACTTGTATATCTAAGAAAACAAAATCCTATCACAACTTAACAAAACTACTTCCTTTGCTAATCAGTGGATGGATAATTTATTTCTCCATTTCTTTTTTAAAGTATACTTCTCCTTGGAGGAAATGAAAGATAGGGATTACTAGGAATGTACCAACACTCCAAACCTAACACCTTTAATTTAATGTATCAGCCAAAATATCTCCAAACTAGTGCTAACGTTATTTTTAATAGCTATGTTGCTCTCAGGCTCTCAAGAAACACTGCAGTTTAAGCACCATCTTCTTCTTACTAAACTATTTTAGCAAAATGTCAGAGGACTTCTACCCTTTCCTCCAGAATTCATTCCAAGATAGTATCAATAATGTTCACTTTTATCATTAAGAGAATTTTGCTTTAATTGCATTTATCGTTATTTGACTTTTATGTTTTTTCCTTTTACAGCATTTTATTATGTATTTTTGCAGTTTATATATTGTCAAATTGCTGTATAAAATCAACAATTGTAAATATTTACAGGCATATGAGGCCTCAATCCTGCTTTATGACAACTCTGAAAGTCAAACGAATTTGGGCACTTGGACCATGCATTTTCTATCTTAATAAGGTACTGTATAGAAATATAATACTTGTACTACAGAACTCATTCTCTATATTTGTAGTTCTTGGTACAGATTGTTTTCCTCTTGAGACGTTAAGCAACTTCAGGGCCAAAGCCTTCTTATTCATTTTAATTCCAGTTTCTTCACAAGTGCCTAGCACAATGCCTGGCAAACAGCTGGTACTCAGGAAACATTGTTGAAATATCGTCATCAAGTCCCAGGCCTATGGGAGTTAAAACTAGATCCCCATGACTTACGTAATAATTAATACAGTGCTGTGCTTCCAACGAATGGTGTGTGATACACCAGTTGGTTGCGTAGGGTTCACAATTAAATTATTTGATTTATAATATCCAAGTACTTATTTTAAAGTTTCTTAGGAAAAAACGCAATGAGTACATTAAACACAAGATCTTGCAAACACTGCTCAGGGCGACGCCAATGTAGGTAGCACCTACTGAAGTGCTTTTTTTAGAAAAGTGAGTCAATTTAAAGAAATACACCCAGTAAATAATACAGGTGGAACGAGAACTTGGCCATAATAGTAAGGGTTGGTATACAAGTGACTAAAGTTTGAGAGACACTCACACACCAACAAAACACAAACCCCTCCTGGCGTGTTTGCAACCAGCGCGCCTCCCTCGGGGTCCGGCCGCCAGGACCTACAGGGGACAGGACGCTTCCCCGCCGACGGTCAGCTCCGAGAACGGTGCTGCGAAGTCTGGGGAGCAGGCCACGGCCGGGATGGAGGCTGGGTTGGGGGACGTGGGCCGGGGCTCCAAGACCACTGGTGCGGGCCGGGGAAGCACAGGCCTGGCCGGCTGCCGGAGAGCTCCGTGCCAGGGCCCCAGACCGCGTTGGCCGAGCATCCCGCCGGCTACTCGCCGGGTTTACCTATCCCTCAGGGTCTCCGGAGGCTCGTCCCGGATGCACCATCGCTCAGACCCTCTTCCTCCTCCTGCCTCCCCAGCCCGCCCCGCCCCGGGTTAATCTCGGCCGCCCGCCCCTCTCTCCTCCCTCTAGGCACCCAGCCCTACTGACCGGCCTCTTCCCACGACACAGCGGCCGTAGCCCCTCCTCACACAGCGCCACGCTTCCATCTTCCCTGTCCGCGAATGTCTAATGCCCAGGCCCCGGGCTCCTCCTCAATCTCTATAACTGCCGCGGAGGCCTAAAGCACGGAGGAGACCCCATCACTCTAAGTCTTGACTCCCGGCCCGGCTGCAATGCATGCTGGGAGGTGCAGTCTCGCCGCCGGCTGAGTCTCCATCTTGAGCAGTAAACGTTCCTCAATTGTCTTAACCTCGGATTGAGCCCAAGGAGCATGCGCAGGGCATGTGACGCACGAACAGCCATTTTGGAATAGGGCAAAACATTGTCTTAAAGAAACAGAAAGAAATAAATTTACTAGACAGAGCTGGACTGCTTTATTAAGGCCTATAGGCGAGTGCACTGCGTTAAAAATAGGAGAGCTAAGAAGAAATAAATATTATTTTAGAATATTTTTATAATGTACATGGGGAGATTCAAAAGGTGGATGCCACTTGAAGTAAAAAAAATATGTATACTACTCTTATAGAAACTAACTCAGAAATATCTTAAGAATTCAAGCTTACATAATTAAGGTTAATCTGTAGTGAACAGGTGATTTCTGTTTTGAAGCAGTTTAATGTTTCTAAGAAATGGGTAGGAAGAGACACTGATTGATACGGTGGTACCTTGTCACCATAATTACATACATAGCCAGGAATTGGGACAGTGAGGAATGTAGACAACAAAACCTCAGAGACCAAAGTCTCTACTTAAGGAAAACCAATTAATTTGGACAAGTATGTAGAGGTTCTTCTATCTACCAGGGAATTGTTTAAGAATTAAGGAGCTCAGCCGGGCACGGTGGCTCACGCCTGTAATCCTAGCACTCTGGGAGGCTGAGGCGGGTGGATTGCTCGAGGTCAGGAGTTCGAAACCCAGCCTGAGCAAGAGCAAGACCCCGTCTCTACTAGAAATAGAAAGAAATTAATTGGCCAACTAATATATATAGAAAATTAGCCGGGCATGGTGGCGCATGCCTGTAGTCCCAGCTACTCGGGAGGCTGAGGCAGAAGGATTGCTTGAGGCCAGGAGTTTGAGGTTGCTGTGAGCTAGGCTGACGCCACGGCACTCACTCTAGCCTGGTCAACAAGCGAGATTCTGTCAAAAAAAAAAAAAAAAAGAATTCAGGAGCTGGAGTCAACTGGGTTGGGGTGTGAGTAGCCACGATGACAATAGTGTGAGTTCAACCTCACCCAGGAGGGCTGATGTCTGAAAGAAAATGGAAGAACCTCAGAGCCCACATTTCGATGAAATGGAAAGGGCTTGGACACTCTCCAGAAGTTGTTCTCCCTGCCAAAAACTAAAGTAGGTAAGACTGCCCTCTCTTCTCTGGGTACTGCCAAGGCTGATTGCAGAGCAGAGAGGAGGATGAGAGGTACAGTGGAATGAAGTCAGGATATGTCCTCTTCTGAGAAATAAGTCATAGTGGAGGCATTTTTCAGAGGGTGACATTAATGAGTTACAGAGAACTCATTAATGGCTGCACAACTAGAAATAGAGATGGCTAGAGCTATCAAAATGTCACACTAGATAAATTAATACTCAGAATATGAATTCTGAGCTATAGCAGAGAGACTTAGAATTATCTGAAAATTGTTCTTCAACTCCCTGAGCAGGAGAGTGGCCATTTCAGTTGTCTGGTCTGGGATGGCCAGACTAGATGAGGAAACAAGTTGGAGCCAAGATTATGACAGAAGAAAAATCCAGAACAGACCGGAACAGAAACCTTTTACTTCAACACACCTAGATAAGGCCTTCATTAGTTTCTAGAGGGCAGGAATCAGAAGTTAATCCCATCACAAGAGCATAGCACTTGTGCTTTGTTAAATTTCAATTTAAAAAATCTTTCCAGGCCAGACATAGTGGCTCATACCTGTAATTCTAGCACTTCAGGTGGCTGAGGCAGGAGGATCACTTCAGGTCAGGAGTTTGAGACCAGCCTGAGCATCGTAGAGAGATCTCATTTCTACAAAAAAGTAGAAACAATTAGCCAAGGGTGGTGGGGCACACCTGTAGTCCCATTACTCGGGAGCTTGAGGCAAGAGGATCACTTGAGCCCAGGAATTTGAGGCTGCAGTGAGCTATGATAATGCTACTGTACTCTAGCTGGGCAATAGAGCAAGGCCCTGAGAAAGATCTCATCACCATGAAATCAGCACACCAAGCCATTCATGAGGGATCTGCCCACAACACCCAAACACCCCTCATTAGGCCCCACCTCCCACACTGGGGATCAGATTTCAACATGAGCTTTGTTGTGGACAAACTCAAACCATAGCAGTTCTTATAAAAACAGGATTTGGCAAAACATAGATTGCAAGGCTGAAAATTAAGGTTGGAAATCCAGTCTGAAGTATCTTTCAACTCCCACACATGTTCTTATACTTCACTCTCAGCCCCCAAATTCTGGAGAATGTTTCTATACAACCTACCAACTCTCTCAATAAAAATACCCCGGGTTGTCATGGTGACATAATGTTTTTCCCCTGCAGAACTTTGTAGTCTGGTCCGGTAGTTTCCTAATTCTTTATGGTTGTGGAACCTTTCCTTTCTTTTTTGGGACTCATTTTTGGTTTCTCTTATAATATCCAGCCTGATATTATATCTGGACTTGATAAAGTAGTAGCACAGTATAGATGTAATTTGGAGCAGGGAGGAACTAATTAACAGTTTTAACAATTATCCATAAATCAGTCTATAAAGCTGATGAAGTTCTCCATGAGTTCTGCAGTGGTCCTTGATGAAAACATCATAGCATTCAGCCCTTGCTAGAATTTCTTTCCCTAATTAGACTAAATTAAAAACTCTCAATGCCCAGGCTTTTTAAAAAGTAAAAGGGGGTGGGTGTGGTGGCTCATACCTATAGCACTTTGGGAGGCTTGCTCATTTTTAGGGGAGGAGTGCTTGAGGCCAGGAGTTGGAGACCAGCCTGAGCAAGACCCTGTCTCTATAGAAAATTAGCCAGCCATGATGGCATGTGCCTGTAGTCCCAGCTACTTGGGACACCAAGGCAGGAGGATCACTTGAGCCCAGGAGTTAGAGGTTGCAGTGAGCTATGATGAGGGGGCACTGGCACTCTAGCCTGGCCACACAGTGAGACCCTGTCTCAAAAAAAAAAAAAAAAAAAAAAAGCAAGCAAGTAGCACAATTATAGAAATTTTGTAGCCAGGATACAAAATTCAGGTTTGCCCTTCTCTTTTCTACATCCCTAAACCCTTTTTATTTCCATCTCTCAGACCCAGAACAGGCTTTTTAGATTTGTGAGGACCTATAGTACAGAGACCTGTGGATGTTCAGCAGGGATTCCTTAGGCCCAAGAGAGGATGAAGAAGCTCAGTGATGGAATGTCAGAGGAGAAATGAGAAAGCTGCATGTAAAAAAGAGCACAAATGCTTTCTGAGGTTGCCTGATACCTGTTTGAGGACAGAAACCATGTCTTTTGGTTGTTAAATAGTGCATAAATGAATGGCTCTTTGGTGGGGACTTTTCCATGTATTCTGACTTTGCCCATGCCAAAACTAGACATTTATCTAGAAGTAGTGAATGTCCTTTATGATGGCTAACATCAAGGTGGAAGGTATGTATTTTTATTCCCTTTAATGAATATTTTGTTGATTGATATCTAAACCTGGGATGTCTGGAATACTGGAGGTCAAAAAAGGATTTAAGGGAATCTTTGAGCAATTACAAAATTTTAAAAAATAGAATAAAAATTGAAAAAAAGTTTACAAAAAGGAAGCAAAGGTTCACCAAAACCTCAAGTGTCTTTGTTTTTGACTGATATTGTATGGACTTAATATGATAACATTTGTTATTTTATTTGGGTCAGTAGCTGAGATCAGTAGTTATATGTCACTGACTTTGATTGGAAAGACAAAAAAATAAATAATGATGACTTAACACTGGACAATAGTAGAACAGCAGATTTTGTAAGGTGGGACCAAGGAAACAGAACAACAGAAAGAAACTGTTAACATCTGGTTATTCCAGGTTACTTTTTTGTAAGGGTTAAAGGGACTTCTTTATTATGCTGATTCAGATAATCTGGACTCTCCTGTTTTCAGCATTATAGGTGTGAGCCACTGCGTGGCCAGTTTTCAGTCTTAACTGGATATATATGTAAGGATGTAGGCAAGGTGAATCAAGCCACGGAAGAGAAATATGCCTGGAGATAGACATTTGCCAGTCAATGGGTATAAATATCAAAGGACCACAGGCAAAATCCCAAGAAACTAGAGTATTAAAGGTTCCTGGAAAGAGAAGAAACCAGGAAAGGAAAATGAAAAAGGAGTGAGTTATCTGAGTGTAAAAGAAAAAAGAGGAGATAATGCTGACTTATATGCTAAGGACAGAAAAGTTCTGAAAAGGTGGAAATGATCGGAAACTTCCAAAAAGTTTGTAAATATTGGGTAAGATGAGGTCATTAGAAACTTTTTTCAGAGCAGTTTCAGA